AGATTTTAACCCAGCTATTGAAATGGACATGCTTTCGCACCTATCGAGTACTTTCGGTACTTCAATTTGCAATGGTTCTTGCAGATTTTATCCCAGCTATTTGAGTGTTGTTGTGGGAAAAATCACTCATCTATTTATTTAGCGTAGAAAATATATACTTTGTTAATGGGAATAATTTGGTTATATCGGCTGTGAATAATTTACCTCTCTTTTAATTTACCTCTTTCAATAGTAGCTGTTTTTTTTTTTAATGGTGAAAATGTTATTATCTTTAAACTTTTAGGTATTACACAATTCCCGTCATTTTATACAATAATACTCTTAGAATAATGAATTATTTTCATACCGATGCTTCACAATTCTATTATGTATGCTTTACTCAAAATTACAAACATAATAATAATGATATATAAAAAGTTCGCTTTAGTAAAATATTAATAAATTTGAGTAGTTAAAATTATTTTATATTTTTAATATACTTAATGCAAAAATAAGGGTTCAAAGTATATCTAAAATTAACTTTTGGCCTCTAAAGAATTTTTCATTAAAAATAAGTATCTAACATTTTTAATGTTATGTTTTTAGGTGTCTAGATTGTAACACCGTCAAGTTTAATCGTTAAGTGACAAGTGTCATTATTATATTTTTTTTTGTTTTGCTTTTAATAAAAAATAATACTTTTTTAAAAAATCATATTTTTTTTAAATACTTTTTAAAAAAATCATATATCTTTTTTAAAAAAAAAACCATCTCCCCTCCCCCTTCGTCCCCACCCGCCCCAAGCCTTCCTCTCAATTCCCTCCCCTCCTCCGCCCTCCCCCATCCCTCCCAATATCTTGGATTATTAAGATTAAATTTCAATTAAATCCTCTACACATTGAATTTAGGGTTAGAGATTTAAGGTTTAGAGTTTAGGATAAAGGAAAGAGCAATGATCGGTTAATAGATGAGCGAGGACGGGTAGGTGATCTTTCGACGAAAGATGATGGTCAGAGATGACTGATGATGGCTGTAAATGGATTTGAAATTAAGAATTTTAAAGTTTTGAGGTTTTTTTAATTCTAAATAAATTTATTTTTTAAAAATAAATTTTTAAAATTTTACAAGTCTGTCACATGTCAGATAACAATATTTTTTTAACGACTGTTACAGCTCAGACACCTAAAATATAACGTCAAAAATGTTAGACACCTAAAAATGTAACAGAAAAAACGTTAGACACCTAAAATGAAACGAAGAAAATGTTTTGTGTATATTTTAGACACTTATTTTTACCTTAAGCATTTTTAGTATTTAATATATTAATCGTTTATAAATGATATTATTGTAAAGTTTGTAATCATTTAAAATAATATCTAATTTTGAGTTATAAAAAAATAGATCTTATACATTAAAAAATAATATATTTGACCACTCGAGATCATAATATTATTTTTTTCATATTGTTATATTTCATATAAATAAATATGATAGTTATTAAAATTATTTAAAAATATAAGTTTGATATACTAATATATTATTATATGCTAAATTTATTTTTTCCTCAAAAATTAAATAATGTAACAATTAAAATATTTCTATGAATTTTTATTCAAATATTTATAATTTAATATTAAAGTTCAACTTGGTGAGAAAAAACATAAAATTTAACGTCCCCTAATTAGTTACATTATATTTTTCAAATATCTTAATATCCCAAAGATGGTACGGTAAACTTAAATATATATAAATAATTAAAAAATCATATTATTATATTTTAATTTTATTATTTAGTCTAAAATTAGTACAAAATAATATCAGTTCAAAGATAATTTTTAATTATTTGATATTGAATATTCATACTCCTGATATTTATAGTACTCGAACTTAAAACCTCAAAGAATAAAATAATTCTTTTACTATCGAAATCTTTTGATTAATGTTTATATTTCATATTTGAATATATATATATGAATTACAAATTATAAACAGAAACTTCCCCGGGGGTAGTCCATATGGGGATTGAGGGGAAGCCCTACTACGAATCCATCTAATTTTAGGGATTGTACTGCCGCATCATACTTACTATAAATTGAGGAAGGCCTTCGCTTTCATCGATCCATTTATTAACATCAAAAGATCCTTTCTTTCTGTCATCCAAATAGCCAAACTCAACAATGGCCGGGACCGGACCTTTGACTCAAGACTGGGAGCCCATCGTCATTCGGAAAAAGGCCCCAAGCGCCGCCCTCAAGAAGGATGAGAAAGTCGTTAACGCCGCCCGCCGTGCTGGTGCCGAGATTGAATCCATCAAAAAATATGTAATTTTGTTTTGCAAAATCCACAGATTTACTAACGGGATCTTTTTATTTATTTTTTGTGTGAAATTAATCTTACTTTTGTGAACGGGAATTTGCAGCGAATGCTGGGACTAACAGGGCGGCATCAAGTAGTACTTCTTTGAAGACGAGGAAGCTCGATGAAGACACTGAAAATCTCGCTCGTAAGAAATTTATTCTGTTGCTTTCTGTTTATCCAGTTATATGAATTATATATGGTTTAATTTATGTATGAACTTCCCAATTTTTTTGCTCAAAAGAGAATAATAGTTTCGAATGAATGTATTGGTAATACTTTTATGCATAAAAGTAATACAATAATTTCTGTAGTAATGCATATGTTGGGATTGATTTAATTGATATGTATGTTCTCAATGCGAACTGATTATTGATTTAAAGTGAGTTTTAGATTGTGTAATCTTGTAGAACTAGCATAGTACTAGTTAGTATAAGGGATTTAACAAATGATTTTGCAATATGAATAGAGTTGTTTTATGAATTTTTTTTATTGCGTATGTCTATTTGTGTTTTGATTTCCTCTTTCTTTTGTGAGGTTAGGAGCTTTTTGGTACATATATATTCTTTTCATCAACGAGAATTTTTTTTTTTAATTCATTCTTTCTTATATTGTTTGAGTGAGTTGGGTTGTTTTGGTCCTATGCATGTTGAATCACTTATGCTCTATATCTCCATTAGTTTTGGAAGATCAACTATACTTCTATAATGTATCTACATATTGCTTTTGTAATTTTCCTCTATGGCATCCTTGGTTTATCTGATTACACATTTCAGTGATCTCCTCCACAACAAGCGAGATACATTTGGGTTTACGTAATTGGCTATTATGATATGATCTCAAACCTGGTCATCATCAATCGTTTCTTATAAAACTTGTATCTTTAATGTATATCCTAGCTGCCGCCCATACTGCATATGTTTTCACCAGTTCTCAAGTCTTGTACCTTAGTTCTCATGGATGATTCCATTGTGAATTTTCATTGATGTTTAAACTCATGAACAGATGAGCGAGTGCCAACTGAACTAAAGAAAGCCATCATGCAAGCTCGAATGGATAAGAAACTTACCCAGGCTCAACTTGCTCAGGTCTCCCTCGTCTCCATGCTTGCTTGCATGTGTTCATGTGCATTCCCCAAGAGTGTGATGAGTCTTTTATATGTTAAGTTCTTTAACTGAAATATGTTTGGTCATCCCACAGATGATCAATGAGAAGCCCCAGATCATACAGGAGTATGAATCTGGAAAAGCCATTCCTAATCAACAGATAATCGGTAAGCTGGAAAGGCTTTTGGGGCAAAGCTGCGAGGTAAAAAGTGAGAGTGTCTTGTTGAAAGAAAGAACAACCTGAACTCAAATTCCGTCCAGCGTCTTGAGTCGTAAAACTTGGTGATCTAAATGAATGTTTTTCTACCGTGTTATTATGGCTAGCTTATAAGAACAGTTTGTGTGATGACAATGTCCATGACTACGAAATGAAGTGCGTGTGTTCTTGACTGTAACTTGGGATTAACTGTGCTGTTTGTGTTTAGCATCGACACTCCTTTGGTCTAAGCAGCTCAAAACGCCAACAAATGTCAAATATGTTTTGACATTTGAACTTGTTGCAATTGGAATCTTATGTTTTGCATCCTTTTGTGAAGCAAAATAAGGTATGATTAGATAAACACTTGAGTTGATGGGTAGGAGAGATTGTAATTTTGCTATTTATGCTTATCAAATTCACTCTTACAGGCGAAAATTAGTTGGAAGGATGACTTAAACAACTTTAAAATATACATAAATTAGTACAGCAGGATTCCATGCAGTCATTTCATCTATGAAAGCACTTGGCCAAATGCTTCTAATTTCTTGCCCCGACTGGCCAAGAAACATAACTGAGATATCCAACTTCAAAGCAAACGGCCAAAAAGAAGAGTTAACAAATAACAAACTTGAACTTGTTACATTCTTTTGTTGTTGCTGTAGACACTTATATTATTATCATCTCGAAATATATATATATATATACCTTCATCATATCATTCAAAACAAAAACAAAAGAAGTGAGAGAAGCTCCAGCTTCTCTCTAACAAGGCGTTTTCAAATTTCAAATTTCCAAGGGAGAGAGAAAATATGGGTGTCGTTTATACAGCCCTCACTACCGTCATCCATCATTAGTCTTCCACCTTCAGTCGCTTGTCGTCCGCCATCCTCCGACCATCGTCCTCCAACCACCGTTCGTCGTCTTTCGACCACCGTCCGCCGCCGCACTCCGACATCCTTTTGACGCAGTTTTTCTCAAGGATATTCGTCTACCCACAACGTTTCCTTTTTCCCTGGTTATTTTTGTTAGATTCCTTTTCAATCGGAGCAAATCTACTTGCCTTTCTTCGTCGTTTTTTTCCACCACCAGTTTCCCGAGTTTCGTTTTAACCGTTCCACTGTACTCGTCGGATGCTCGTGACAAAAACCGAAGTTGTCTACTTTGAATAATCACTGTTGGTCAACGGATCTTCTTGAGAAAAACTTATTTTTCCAGATCGTAGTTATTGGCTCTGGATTTTCACGTTTGGAGGCATATCTTACCTAGCATTTTATTTCTCTGATTTTTTCGTTCAAATCTGCATTCAAAATCCAGGACAGTTTGTCAAGTCTCTAGGTGTTTTATTTCAACAGTCAGTCATCATGCCAAGTGCTGGAATCCTACCTTCTCTCAAGATGAGACCTCCGGTTCAAGTTCCTTCACCCTCTGCAGCTGCGCATTCTCTGTCATCTCATATTTCTCATCGTGATGAGGTTCGTACTATCTTCATTATGGGTCTACCTGAAGATGTCAAAGAGAGAGAGTTGCAGAATTTTCTGAGATGGCTTCCAGGTTTTGAAGATTCACATTTGAGCTTCAAGAGAGATAAGCCCAAGGGTTTCGCACTCTTGTCAACTGTTAAATTTGCAGTTGCTGCCAAGGATGCCCTTCAGAAAATAGTTTTTGACGCTAAGTTAAAGTCCTTCTTGCACATCGAGATGGCAAGGAAGAATCTTGTTGTTAAAAGAGTAGTTACAAATTCTAATTTTGACAAGTATGGAGGTTTTCCTGTTCCTCCAGTACTGCCATTGCCAATTCCAGCTTCTGTAGCATCTCCTAGTTTTCATGTGTCAGTTAAAGAAGTCTGCTGCGATGAAAAATCTGCAGTAAATGGTGTACACGAGGGATCCAGGGAGTCGATCACAAAGGGGTGCAGAGTTGACAAGTCTGGATGCTTCACGTTATTTGTTGAAAATTTACCAGAGAAGATTCATTGGGAGAGGTTTGGATCTTTTTTTTTGCTCTCATGGTCGGGTACTAGATGCTTTTATTCCAAATAAAAGGAATTCAAAAGGAGTTTGCTTTGGTTTTATTCGCTTCGCATCAATCGAAGAAGCAGGGAGAGCAATCTCAAAAATGAATGGCTCTCGTATCGACGACAACAAAATTGGTGTTTCTTTCGCTAAATTCAAACCTCGACATTCCTATTGGAGAAAGTCCTCGACAGTGTTCTTCGCAAGTCCGGATGGAAGATGATTCGAGGATGAATCATTATAAAGTTGAAGGTGTTAGATGAAGAAAAACTTCAGGTGTTGAGCAATTGTCTAGTGGGGTGGTGCAAGGACTTTGTCAAAATTGGTCATCTCGCTAAACAAATGCAAGCGAAGGGCCTCACTGGCTTCACCTTAATGAGAGCTGCTGGTAATGCGATTTTAATGATTTTCGAAGACAATGCTTCATTGAGAAGTGTAAAGAACGATAAATCAAAGATTCTCGCAGAGTGGTTCTCCTTAGTCGAAGCTTGGTCAGAGTTTGGTAATGGAGTGTCGTCGAGTATGGTTAGTTTGCGAGGGTGTTCCTTTTCACACATGGAATTGGAATACTTTCAAGAACATTGCTGATAAGTGGGTTTATTACTAGCTATCGACGAAAGTTGTCATTCTCCATCATCCTTTGATCGGGCAAAAATTCAAGTCCTCACAAAGGCTGATGCGAGAATTGATACGATGGTGGAATTGAAGGTTGGTGACAACTTCTTCAAGGTCATGGTGCATGAGATAGAGCCTTCATTCAAACCAAACTCTTGGGCTCCTGAAGAAGACAAGTCTTATTAGATCTTGTTTCTTCAATTGTGGTTTTGTTTTAGTTCATATGGTTGTTGGTGTTGCTTTTTAATTTGCATTATGTTCAGTTGCGCTATTTTATTCCTACTGCTGGTGGTGTAATTAGAAGTAAGGTGATTAGACTGTGGCTTTGTATGAGGTTATATGAGGTTAAGGTGTTTGTTGTAATGGTGTTCATCACCATGAGAGGATATTCCATGGTGTCTTTTGTATCGGGTATTATTATCAATAAAATTTGAGGTACTCTTTTCTTCCTTCCAATGTTTGTTAACATACTTTAAGTATGTAAACGAATAAGAAAGGAGTTTTTAATGAGACCTCCAACTTCTATCAATATATATATATATATATATATATATATATATATACGTCAAACTAGATCTTACCATGGGGTTGCATCCAACAGTCGACCTCAAGTTCTGACCTTAAATTTCAAGACAATGAATCGCTCGTTGATGTAAACTAACATAAGAAATGTTTTGCAGCCAATATTTCCTTATAGATACAACAGGAACATGAACATCATTTGCTTTGTACAATTAACCAAAGGCTGTCCAAAACTTGTTATGTAGAAATAATTATATTAAACATGCAACTCAATATTAATATAAACACTTTAAAAGAAAATCATTCGCAAGCCAATTTCGTACCAAAAGCTTGTCAGGCAGATGGCAAATGCAAGAAAGGCTGACAAGGGATGCCTATAATCCATGGTGAATGTATCCTCCCCAACTTTCCCAAACTGGAGGAGAACCGTTTCCTCATCTCCTCTCCCTCCTGGTTGGCTTGGCTTGGGTCTACAGTCTCAGACAGTTGAAAGTTTTTCACAGATGCTATGCTGTTACCCGACCATGGAAATTCAAACACCAGCACTGTAAATGTTCATGCCATCTTGGAGCTTTGTTCTTCAAAATTGCATGACCGGTACAGCATTCTCAATCATTTTCGCTTCGGAGTCATCTAAATGCTTGTCAGTCCTTTCTTCTGGCAAAGGGCATTTCACAGAGCAGACCATCCTCCTCGGACCTCTTGATTTCAAGAGATTGAACTTGTAAGACACTTTACCCACCTCAAAATTGCCAGCTGGAACTTGGGGGCTAATTCTCTTACTAGCAAATCTGCGACTTGATCTACGCTCGAAGGCTTGGCACCACTGTGTGGTGGATGACTATCATAGATTGTAAAGTTGGTGCCTAAAAAATCCGAACTGCAAAGATTTTAAATTTACATGTGTGTGTCAGCTAAAAGATATAAAAGGAACTCCAAAGTACTCTATTTTTAGGATAACATGACATAAAATAGTAACGACATAATAAACAAAGACTGCTCCTCCCACCATATAACATGCTCTCTCAAATTCAACCATATCCCACATATGTACCAAATGCTACAGCTTCTCTTCAGATAATTTTTAAAATGACTCCAGTGACACTTAAAAACTGTTTTCTTAAGAACCGTAAAATATAGCCTAAATTCAAGTGCAGCTACTGTCTACAGAAATCCAGAAAGAGATGGATCATAACACAAAATACATCACTGAAACATCATACAAGTCTCGTACCTTATCTTCCCAACATAGGCATTGCTGCCTTGAGATATATCATCTGCATCAAGGGATAGAATATACTCGATATTAGCACCATGTCGGTATCTTTTTGCTGCCAATAGAAACTTCCCCTTGTCGGTGAATGCTGCCAAAAATCAAGAAAATGTATTCAATAACGCAGATTTCGACCACCAAAATAATCTAGTTGCATGGTAATCACAATCAAGGAAATAGATAGGCTAAGAACAATAAACCCTTCTACATGCCCTCAAGAACTGAAATCACAAGGTAACAAACTTAAGTAGTTTTCCGACTGCCAACATTTTCAAGGGAAATAACTGCTTGAAGACTTAATGTAACATATTTCAATTTGGCAAAGACACATTGATGCAGGAGCATAATTTTATAATATTTTATTTCATAATTTCAGTTTAATTTTATAATATATACTAATTACTAGATTTATGATATTCGCTAAGGCTAGGGCTATTAAGTACTTTTAGGTTTATTAGGTATCATTAGGGTTTAAATCTAGGGTGAGGATTAAAACTTTGCTTGCAAGAAGGTAGCCTATATAAATAAGTTGAAGGCTTACAGACAACACACTTATTATTATTATTTTCTTTGAATTAATAGAAAAACTAGAGGTTTTTTATAACCCTAAGTTTTATGAAGTTCCATTTTCTTTCTTACTCGTTTATTCAGCTCCAGTTCTATTTATTCACTGCAATAAAACAATGACCATTAGGAATATGGATGGTCTTTGTTTAAAGTTCTGGATATTTTCAAGGTTAAGAACAAATCATCCTGACTCAGGCAAACATATTAGGTCAGAAGACAGAAATCTGCCATCCAGTCAAAAATCAAAAGTAATTTAGAAGCTTAAAAAAGTCGATTATCCCTTTCAACTTTTGATCCCTTTTTTTCAACTTCAGTACTTGCATGTAAGTGAGCAAACGAGTTTATTTTGCCATCATGCTTTGTTTTTGAAACCCCAAAAAAATCACTTACATGGTGTAAGAGAAAGATAGAGGTAGAATGTCGAGTTCTTTTTGCACCGCTTTATAATACACTGGTTTGGAATATCACTTGGACCAGGCTGCATTAGCAAAAGTTAATATAACCATCAAATCACGATACATGCAACAAATTAATCGGTTGAAAATGCTAAATCCCAAAAGTACTTTAGCTTCATAACCAGAACCAGAGGAGCAACTTAATTTCTGAAAACTACACCTCAAATTAATACCAATAAGCCAACAAACAAATTTAAAGATTGCAAAACAGATAAATTATATGTGCTTTATTTTGTTTTCAGATTTCATTTGTGCAAATGAAAACAAAAAGCAACTTTATGATGATTGGGAGGGAGAATTCCATATTTCTGAATCGCCCAGTAGAGAATCCTTACCCTCATAGGCTAATTTTCCCAGAACAAGAAAAATAAGCTTCCTTTCTATTAGAAGCAAATCATGTTAAAAGCAAAAGGCTGACAATACAAGGCTAAAATTTCACCGAAATTTAGACGTTAAAAAAATGACATTTGCAGCAGATTGTACCTCTATGACTCTTCATTTCCCTAAATTAGCCAATACAAAAGAGAAGAAAATGCAATTCCCTAAATTAATGATATAAGAACAAAATATATCAATCAATAATCCAAAAATAAATAAATTTATGCAAAAATTTAAGATCCAGACAAATAAACAAAATTTTCACCAACTGCGGAACATTTAGAATCCTACAAATTTTAATATGGAAAATTTTAAAATGTTAATGAGATTATATCCCAAATTCAATTAAAAATAAACAAAACAAAAAATTGGAAGAAGAAAAAAATAAAGGAAAACTCAAAATTACCTGTTTAAGACATGAAGGAAAAGTGATTTTGCCGCTACCAAGGGAAGAAGCCCTAACGATCTCTCTCATAGCTTCTCTCCACTTCTTACATACGCAGCCGCATGCGACAACGTTTTGCCTCTGAGGCCACCGATCTTCACTCGCCTCCACGCGCTCCATGATTTCACCTAACAACTCAGGCAGCAATGTGGACCAGGAATCCCATCCCTCCCCCTCCGGAGAAGAAGACGGGGAAGACAACCCCGGCTGGTCCACCGTGGGCGAGACCGTTGCTAACGCCGCTGTTTTCGACGATGATCTCCACGATCCCGAGAACCTCCGTGAAAGGAACAAGGGCTTCCTGAACGATGACGAACGCGACATCGTTCTTGGAAAGGTTTTGTTTTGGCCTAATTCTTTCGAGGAGAGAGATCCAGAGAGAGATGGCGATTTTGTTTGAAGAGGTGGAAAGTAAAAAGGAAAAAAATTAAGGGAAAAACAGTTGTATGAATAACAGACCGGTGACATAATGGAAAGAAGGCCGAATAAGATCGGGGACTTCATGAAACGTGTCAATATATGGTTGGTGGTGACGTATTTGTGTTTGATATAGTTGCCCTTCTGTTATGTTTGTTTTACTTTTGACCCGGTCCCTTGTTTCTTTAATATTAAGCGTTCAACCATTGGTTTTGTTTTCGTTGAAATTACTTTTAGAAAATCATTTTTTGTATTTGTACTAATTAAAAAGTAAAAAAATTAGGCAATACTTTAATTTTACTTGTAAAGTTTTAATATTATATAAATAATTTTTTAATTTCAATTTTTTTTTAAT